CTCACGATACATGGCCCCATTCATTCTTTCCTTTACACGGATCAGTCGTCCTGGTCCCTTTGCAGAAAAACTGCCCCAAAGCATGATGTTTCCAACCCCATGCTTCACAGTAGGTATGGTGTTCTTTGGATGCAACTCAGCATTCTTTGTCCTCCAAACATGACGAGTTGAGTTTTTACCAAAAAGTTATATTTTGGTTTCATCTGACCATATGACATTCTCCCAATCCTCTTCTGGATCATCCAAATGCACTCTAGCAAACTTCAGATGGGCCTGGACATGTACTGGCTTAAGCAGGGGGACACGTCTGGCACTGCAGGATTTGAGTCCCTGGCGGCGTAGTGTGTTACTGATGGTAGGCTTTGTTACTTTGGTCCCAGCTCTCTGCAGGTCATTCACTAGGTCCCCCCGTGTGGTTCTGGGATTTTTGCTCACCGTTCTTGTGATCATTTTGACCCCACGGGGTGAGATCTTGCGTGGAGAGATCGAGGGAGATTATCAGTGGTCTTGTATGTCTTCCATTTCCTAATAATTGCTCCCACAGTTGATTTCTTCAAACCAAGCTGCTTACCTATTGCAGATTCAGTCTTCCCAGCCTGGTGCAGGTCTACAATTTTGTTTCTGGTGTCCTTTGACAGCTCTTTGGTCTTGGCCATAGTGGAGTTTGGAGTGTGACTGTTTGAGGTTGTGGACAGGTGTCTTTTATACTGATAACAAGTTCAAACATCTGCCATTAATACAGGTAACGAGTGGAGGACAGAGGAGCCTCTTAAAGAAGAAGTCACAGGTCTGTGAGAGCCAGAAATCTTGCTTGTTTGTAGGTGACCAAATACTTATTTTCCACCATAATTTGCAAATAAATTCATAAAAAATCCTACAATGTGATTTTCAGGAAAACATTTTCTCAATTTGTCTGTCATAGTTGATGTGTACCTATGGTGAAAATTACAGGCCTCTCTCATCTTTTTAAGTGGGAGAACTTGCACAATTGGTGGCTGACTAAATACTTTTTTTCCCCACTGTACATACATATATATCCATATCCTTTAAAAAAATATATTTCCCTTTATTTCTTTCCAACCCCACCACCCCTTCCCTAATTGGAGTAAACTAGTGAACAACAACGCTTAGGCCTCTACTTCCAGCTTATACATACTAAATACATTTTATGGACACAGTCAATTTTAATTTTCTATTTTGTTTGTTTTTACTCCTGAACTTCCTCTATCCTCAACCTCTCCGATCATTTTCATGATGTCCATCCGGTTTGCTTCTATATGCAATATATTTCTAACTGTGCTCTTTCACAAAAGCTCTCAACCTATAACCTATATACCTATTATGGACACAGTATGCTTTACATGAGTTATCTTGTTGTTATTAGTTGTTGTTAGTTGTTATTAGTCCCATCCTTCAGCTCCATTCAACACCTTCCATCTATCTCTTAACACCATCCATATTGGATTTCTATTTGCCATATATTTTTCAACTGTACTGTGATGTTTCACAAAAGTTCTGAACCCTTCTATTCTCATTGTTTCTACAGATAGTAATTACAAAATAAACATTTTTGCTAGAAGTATTATTATATTATTGATCGATTGACTATGACTTTTCAGATCACCCAGTAGTGCTCTCTGCAGGGTTAGCTCCAGGTAAATATTGCAATCCTTCAGCCATTCCTGGACCTGTGACCAAAAACAAGCTACAAATGGACAGTACCAAAACAATTGATCTAAATGATTCTGTCTCTTCGCAGCAAAATCTGCAGATCTGGGAAGATTGTATCCCCCATATAAATAACATTATATTGGTAGCAAGAATTTTGTATAATAACTTACATTGAAAAATTCAAAGTTTTGAATCTGGCGTTGTTTTGCGTATCAGTTCATAAACACTATGCCATGTAATCGGTACGTCAAAAATCACTTCCCAACTTTTTTGCAATCTATATGGGACGGCTGTCAATCCTTTGGTCCTTAAATTAAACTGGTATACTTTTTTATTTATCACAATTTTCTTTAACCATTTATGTTCTTTAATGCAGGGCCGACAGACACGTTCCTTACTTTTTCCCCCTACCACTTTCCTCTTCCATTTTTGGGGTAATGCTGCAATTATTTGGTTGTAATTTTGGGTAAAGCAGACATTTCCATATGTTTTTGTTAGCTGCATGTGCGACATAACTCCACCAGTCCTACCTATGATATCATTTACAAAGATTATACCTTTTTTAAACATTTTTTCAAAAAATAATGTTTCTTTATCAATTAGTAAATTTGAGTTTAACCACAATATTTGTTGCATTATTTGTTCTGTCGTTTCTGGAGGATTAAATTGAAATTGCAACCAACTTTCTATGGCTAGTTTAAAAAATAGTGATATTTGGGAGATTATTTCCTTTTCAAATAACTGAAAGTGAGAGGTTGTAATCTGAATAGAGGGAAAAAGGCCATTCTTGAACATGGGGTGAGACAATCTTACTAATTTGCTAGAGAACAAGTTCGGATTTAAGTATAACATTTGTATGACTGAAGCTTTTAGTGATAGGTCTAATGCTTTAATATTTAATAATTTCTGTCCTCCAAATTCATATACATTATATAAATAGGCCTGTTTAATTTTGTCTGGCTTGCCGTTCCAAATAAAATGGAATTTGTTTTTCTCATATAATTTAAAAAACTGTTTGCTAGGCATAGGCAAGACCATAAACAAATAGGTAAACTGGGATAATGCTAAAGAGTTAATCTGTCACGCCCTGACGTATGGAACTCTTGTATGTTGAGTCAGGGTGTGGAAATCTATGTGATGCATTCTATGTTTGTGATCTAGGTATTGTGTTTCTATGTTTGGCCGGGTGTGCTTCCCAATCAGAGACAGCTGTCGCTCGTTGTCTCTGATTGGGGATCATACTTAAGTAGGCTGTTTGCCTACTATTTTTGTGGGATCTTGTTCCTGTGTTAGGCTTGTATTGTGTATAGCCTTGGATTTCACGTTACGTTGTTTCTTGTTTTGTTTGTATGTTTATTTGAGTTAAATAAACATGTACGCCTTGGTCTGACCCGTCTCTCAACGATCGTGACATAATCACGGTGATTTTTCCGCAAATAGACAGGTATTTACCTTTCCATGGTAGCAAGATCTTATCTATTTTTGCTAACTTTCTATAAAAATATATTGGAGTGAGATCATTTATTTCATTTGGGATATGTATTCCGAGTATATCCACATCACCATCTGATCATTTTATTGGTAAACTACATGGTAATCCAATACGTAATATAGTACATTTATCATAATTTGGTTGTAATCCAGAGAGGTTAGAAAATGTATCTAGATCCTCTATGAGGCTGTGGAGGGATTAAAGTTGTGGATTTAAAAGAAAACATGAATCATCAGTGTACAATGACACCTTTGTTTTTAAGCCCTGGATTTCTAATCCCTTGATATTATTGTTGGATCTGATTTTAATAGCTAACATTTTGATGGCCATAATAAATAGATATGCCGATAGTGGACAACCTTGTTTTATTCCTCTTGGCAGTTTAAAACTTTTTGAGAAATAGCCATTATTTACTATTTTACACCTAGGGTTACTATACATGATTTTAACCCATTTTATAAGAGATTCTCCAAAATTGAAATGCTCCAGGCATTTTTATATAAACTCCAGTCGTACTTTATCAAATGCTCTTTCAAAGTCTGCTATGAATAGCAGGCCTGGTTTCCCAGATTTTTCATAGTGTTCTATTGTTTCCAGTACTTGCCTTATCTCCAATGTATCGTCCATGTAAAAAACCTGTCTGATTAGAATGAATAATGTCCGACAATACCTTTTTAATTCTATGCGCTATACATTTTGCAATTAATTTTTTTTATGGAGTGGATCTTTATATTTCCCACTTGTATCCTGTTTCAGTAATAATGAAATCAGACCTTTTCTTGAGTGTCTGATAATCTACCATTTACATAGGAGTGGTTAAAACATGCTAATAACGGTCCTCTGTGTATATCAAAAAAGGTTTGGTATACCTCGACTGGTATGCCATCCAACCCTGGAGTTTTCCCGGACTTAAACTCTTTAATTGCATCCAGAAATTCCTCCTCTGTAATTTCACCTTCACATGAGTCTTTCTGTATGGCTGTTAATTTTACATTATCAATAGAAAAAAAATCCCTACAATTAGCTTCTGTTAGAGGAGATGGAGGCGACGGAAACAAAAACATATGCTTAAACACCACCATTAAGTTTGCTGACGACACAACAGTGGTAGGCCTGATCACCGACAATGATGACACAGCCTACAGGGAGGAGGTCAGAGACCTTGCAGTGTTGTGCCAGCACAACAACCTCTCCCTTAACGTGAGCAAGACAAAGGAGCTGATCGTGGACTATAGGAAAAGGAGGACCGAACAGGCCCCCATTAACATCGACGGGGCTGAAGTGGAGCGGGTCGAGAGTTTCAAGTTCCTTGGTGTCCACATCACCAACAAACTATCATGGTCCAAACACACTAAGACAGTTGTGAAGAGGGCACGACAACACCTTTCCCCCTCAGGAGACTGAAAAGATTTGGCATGGGCCCCCAGATCCTGAAAAAGTTATACAGCTGCACCATCGAGAGCATCCTGACCGGTTGTATCACCACCTGGTATGGCAACTGCTCGGCATCTGACCGTAAGGCGCTACAGAGGGTAGTGCGTACGGCCCAGTATATCACTGGGGCCAAGCTTCCTGACATATGCTTCCCCACTCCCCGTTCAGGTATGTGAAGGGAGATGATCCGGATGACTGGGTTATGGTGGACCCTCATACAGGCCTTGTCATTACCGCCAAGAGACTGGACACAGTCATACTCTATGCAGTTGACAATGGTAAAAACATTCATAATACAGTCAATGCAGTTGATCAGCAAGACAATATAATCAATGTTTTACAGCCCTTTATTCTGTGCCAAAACACAAGATATATAATTTCACACACTATGGTAATTGACTTTTTAATGGACATGTGAGCCACAGATGACAGGCACAGGGACCCTGAGGATCCACGTGATGGACCCACAGCTGTCTGAGAGCAGACTGGACATGTGTGTGTGTGAGGGGCCCACCAGGGCCAACATCACAGCCTCTGACCTGGACCAAGAGCCTTGTGGAGGACCCTTCCAATTCGAGCTGCCTGGAAACGTGGAGGGGAAATTGAGAATGGACCTTTCATATGGTAGATGATTCTGCTCTTAAAAATGCCACTTGTTAGGTTTTGTGACAACTAAATCGCTGTGCGAACAGAACAGAAATGTTGTCAGAAGTAATCACCCATCTGGCATAAAAGTTCAACTCAATGTCATCTGTGAAAACTATCCCTTATCTATCTCTGTGTTGATCTCAACATGTATGTCTCTCATTAATTTCATTCACAAGGTTTCACTGTGACCTGGTGAAGGAGTATTCTGTGGATGCAGGTCCATACACTCTCCAGCCGAAGATCTCTGACATGCAAGGCCAGTTCTTTTTGTACAACCTCTCTGTCACTGTGTGTGACTGTTCCGTTTTGCCCAACTGCCACCAGAGCGGAGCCACTGGTGGCAGTTGCATCATATTCGCTTCCTTGTTTCTGCTACTCTGTAAGACACTCTTCTTTTGATACATTGTGTAATTCATACTATGGATGTACAGTGGGGAAAAAAAGTATTTAGTCAGCCACCAACTGTGCATGTTCTCCCACTTAAAAAGATGAGAGAGGCCTGTAATTTTCATCATAGGTACACGTCAACTATGACAGACAAATTGAGAAAAAGAAATCCAGAAAATCACATTGTAGGATTTATATTGAATTTATTTGCAAATTATGGTGGAAAATAAGTATTTGGTCACCTACAAACAAGCAAGATTTCTGGCTCTCACAGACCTGTAACTTCTTTAAGAGGCTCCTCTGTCCTCCACTTGTTACCTGTATTAATGGCACCTGTTTGAACTTGTTATCAGTATAAAAGACACCTGTCCACAACCTCAAACAGTCACACTCCAAACTCCACTATGGCCAAGACCAAAGAGCTGTCAAAGGACACCAGAAACAAAATTGTAGACCTGCACCAGGCTGGGGAGACTGAATCTGCAATAGGTAAGCAGCTTGGTTTGAAGAAATCAACTGTGGGAGCAATTATTAGGAAATGGAAGACATACAAGACCACTGATAATCTCCCTCGATCTGGGGCTCCACGCAAGATCTCACCCCGTGGGGTCAAAATGATCACAAGAACGGTGAGCAAAAATCCCAGAACCACACGGGGGGGGACCTAGTGAATGACCTGCAGAGAGCTGGGACCAAAGTAAAAAAGCCTACCATCAGTAACACACTACGCCTCCAGGGACTCAAATCCTGCAGTGCCAGACGTGTCCCCCTGCTTAAGCCAGTACATGTCCAGGCCCGTCTGAAATTTGCTAGAGTGCATTTGGATGATCCAGAAGAGGATTGGGAGAATGTCATATGGTCAGATGAAACCAAAATATAACTTTTTGGTAAAAACTCAACTCGTCGTGTTTGGAGGACAAAGAATGCTGAGTTGCATCCAAAGAACACCATACCTACTGTGAAGCATGGGGGTGGAAACATCATGCTTTGGGGCTGTTTTTCTTCAAAGGGACCAGGACGACTGATCCGTGTAAAGGAAAGAATGAATGGGGCCATGTATCGTGAGATTTTGAGTGAAAACCTCCTTCCATCAGCAAGGGCATTGAAGATGAAACGTGGCTGGGTCTTTCAGCATGACAATGATCCCAAACACACCGCCCGGGCAACGAAGGAGTGGCTTCGTAAGAAGCATTTCAAGGTCCTGGAGTGGCCTAGCCAGTCTCCAGATCTCAACCCCATAGAAAATCTTTGGAGGGAGTTGAAAGTCCGTGTTGCCCAGCGACAGCCCCAAAACATCACTGCTCTAGAGGAGATCTGCATGGAGGAATGGGCCAAAATACCAGCAACAGTGTGTGAAAACCTTGTGAAGACTTACAGAAAACATTTGACCTGTGTCATTGCCAACAAAGGGTATATAACAAAGTATTGAGAAACTAATAAATTCATTAAAAATCCTACAATGTGATTTTCTGGAAAAAAAATTCTCATTTTGTCTGTCATAGTTGACGTGTACCTATGATAAAAATTACAGGCCTCTCATCTTTTTAAGTGGGAGAACTTGCACAATTGGTGGCTGACTAAATACTTTTCCCCCCACTGTAGTCCTGTTTGTCTGCTTTCTTAATTGTTTATTAGAAAAGACTACAATTAATATTTGTATCCGACTGTCAATTTTCCTGCTGATGGCAATTTCCATCTCTTGTGATGCGGAGATGTCCACCATCCATGTTGACCACAGCTCTGGAGATGTACTGCTCCACTCCAACATCGAGAAACCAGGAACTGACTGTGAGGTATTGTAATACCTCAACTGCTGGCCTATAAATGTACAATAGTTTATATTTAATAACAAAATTGAATAAGGTGCAATTACAGCTTTAAGTATTTGTTGTTGACAATCATGTATTTGTTGATTGATGCCAAGGTACCCAATGCATCATTGACGCCTAATGTCAATCATCAGCAAACATCACTGATGAGTTGGTATCAAAAATATGGAGTAATTCAATAAAGCCAATGGACTCAGAATATGGGTGAGGCTATAATTATGATTGGGCAATAGACACGCTATGTTTGTTTATTTTGAGCTTTTGCAGAAGCAGCAGCTTCTCTTCCTGGGGTCCACAAAAAACATGACAAGTAAAACACTGATACACAAGGACAGTCACAGAAATGTAAAATACAATGATATACAAACACAAAAAAATATAAACAATACAACAAAATTATGTGTGTGTGCGCGTCCCCTCACAGTCCCCGCCGTACCTTGAGTTGTTGAATCCGTTTTTTTAAAGGTAATTTTGCTGTTTGCTTGAGTAATTGGAGATGGGAATTCCATGCGATCATGGCTCTGTATAAAACTTTGCGTTGCCGTGAATTCGTTTTTGGACTTGGGGACTGTGAAGAGACCCCTGGTGGCATGTCTTGTGGGGTATGTATGGGTGTCGGAGCTGAATGTTATTTGATTATGCAGACAATCTGGAATTTGTCACAGTAATATTGCTGAACCACTAAACAGTCTATAAAGAACTTTGAGATGAATATCCCTATTCCTTACCTCACCTTGTCATCAGTCCTACAGGATTTAGACAAAAGCTTTATAAATCTAAATGTTGTGGAGCATGGTGAACAACATTTAAGATCTGTTCAATGACAGCTCAATGTATAAGGTATGCATTAATCTGGTCATGTCAGATTATCCACGTTAAAATTATAGAGTATGCAGGCATGGTTTTAGCTTGGTCTGAATTTCATGACTCATCATACCCGTATGCTGCGTTTTCCACTCTTAACTTTTCAAACTTTAGAGGACGAGTACACCAATAAATTACAAACAATGGCTGCCATCATCAGGTAGCCTACAGTAGCTGGCATATATCCACTTATCAAATGTCTGTTAAACAGTTGAGACAAGTGCACTTGTTTAGAAGTCTCCTCTGTTCTACAGGGACCGGTTTTACGCAGGAAATATTGCACTACTAGAAGGTACTCTAGTTTTGTGACAGAGGCTGCCATGTTCAACTTGGGCCATCAGGTTGGTTTTTCAGGTGGCAGACTTTTTTTGCCAGATATGCAAAGCCATCAACTTATTTTTGGAGACCTAGTGACATGTAATTTAGTTTGCTACTACTGTTCTAGACTGCCAACTCATCTCCCCTCTCTCACTGCAGAGATTAGTCTCCATACAAGCCCCAGGCCAGGAGCTGGGTGATCATGACCCTCACCCCTACTATGAGGGAGACTCAAACTCTGCCGCAGAACCAGACCTGGACTCTCCATCTCCAGCCCCGACAACACCCTTGACCTGAGCGAGTTAGACAACCTGGGGCCCAGGTTGAACCAGCTAGCCTCTATCTGCACACCAGCCTATGCCAATGATTAACACTACAGTATAGTAGGAGCAGCATGTAAAATATTAATTTCAATTTTGAGATCAAACAACTTTTGCAAATTGTTTGAAGTTCACTGTTGACAGAATATGAAAAATCAGTACAATCATAATTTGTCATGTAATTTAATGGATTAGTAACAATACAAGTTTCCCACAGTGTTAATGTGAATTTTCAGTATCAAGAGAAAAAATGATTTGCTTTTGTACAACCATGACCAAGTTAGCATGTGGAAAATGTGAGATACACAAGGAGGGACAGAATCAGATTTAATTCACCACTCCTTCATGAAACTTTTTTTTTTTTACTAGTATTCTTTTTATACCCAAACTTAAATCTCAGATGAGACATTGTCAAAGAAGCACTTTGTTTTGTCATAGTATAACTTCTCCCTGGGAGGATCCTCCTCCACTGTGCCCTCATGTTCTGGCCCTTACTAACCCCAGAGCCCACCTTCTCCTCTGGGTCAGAATGAGAACAACCAAGGGTCACATTTTCATACTGGGATTAAGAAGAGAAAGGCCACAAACTCCAAACCACATCTTAGGTGTGGTTAAAATATAGACTTGCTACTGCAGGCAAGACAACTTACTGCCTAGATTGACGACCAGAGTTACACATACAGTATTTCACTGAGCAACAGTTTCAAATTTGGACTACTTGAGGAATCACTTTTGATGCAGGTACCTTCGATGGTCAGCTTTTCCTGAAGCTCCTTCTCTAGTTCATCTTATTTTTTTTATTTTTTTTTCTGGGTTCTCTAGTTCATCTTTGTTGAACTGAGCATTGGAAGTTTCAAAATCAAAGTCAGACTCAAATTGTAAGCTTTTGAGTTTTCTACAAGAAGCTGACCTCTCCCACTGTTCCTTGACCTACGATTGCCTGTGAGCATAACACTGTTACATTTAGACATTTGACAACAGTATGTGTATTAAAGTAGTAAAAAGTTTAGCATTGGGTCCATAATTATAGCGCGCAAGGACTACATCAAGCTTGTGACTCTACAAACTTGGATGCATTTGCCATTTGTTTTGGTTGTTTCAGATTATTTTGTGCCCAATAGAAATTATTGGTAAATAATGTATTGTGTCATTTTAGTATCACTTTTATTGTAAATAATAGAATAGGTTTCTAAACACGTCTACATTAATGTGGATGCTGTCATGATTACAGATTGTCCTGAATGAATTGTGAATAATGATGAGTGAGAAAGTTAGACAAATATCATAGCCCCAAGACATGCTAACCATTACAATAACAGGGGAGGTGATATTTTTGCGTCTAACGCTCATCACAATTCTCGATTCATTCAGGATTATCCATAATCATGGTAGCATCCACATTAATGTAGAAGTGTTTAGAAACATTATATTCTTATTTACAATATGTGACTCCAAAATGCCAATTATTGACCATTAATGTCTATTGGGCACAAAATAATATGAACCAAAAACAAAAAGCAAATGCATCCAACAAGTTTGTATAGTAACAAGCTTGATGTAATCATTGCGTGCTATGAATATGGGACCAAATACTCACCATTTGACTGCTTTAATACACAAGTGAATTTGTCCCAAAACTTTTGGTCCCCTAAAATGGGGGGACTATGCACAAAAGGCGCTGTAATTTCGAAACAGTTCACCCGATATGCATGAAAATACCCTCAAATTAAAGCTGACCGTCTGCACTTTAACCACTTGAAATGTAATCTACATAATCCCCAAATATAATTATTTATAACGAAGGCCATAAACTATAACTAGTAAGGATTGCATACTCAAAGAAAGGTTAAAATCTCACCTTTCTGGTAAAATAGTTATGAATTGCTGAGGTGTAGTCACTTTTGACAACACAAGCACACAGTAAAAATATGATACAAATATTAAAATATGAAATTTGATATGATGTATTTCCTATACAAAGCTGTATAAGTAGGGCTTAAAAATGACATGCTTTCTAAATATAAATAGCATAATCAAATAAAATGACTAAGATTTCACCTTCCTTATAACTAAAATACATAGTTGTATGTTTAGTGTTAGAGAAAATTTGCATATTTTCTAAAGGTCTCGCTTGATCAAAATGTCTGTTAGCGTCGCTGGGAACGTCTCACATAGCTCTAGCTTGGCTTCCTGAACTCGTTAGGAACACACCTTTCATCTCATATTAAGCTTGTCTGTCTATGACAAACAGAAAGCCTGAATTTAAAATCTGAATTATTTTAGATTAATGGATATATAACCAAAAATATATAATAAATAAAAAAAATCTATGAAACCACTCTCCTGTTGAGCTACGATGTAACGATTGCAGCATGCATGTGCTTTGTCCGTGGCTGTGATGTAGGGTTCAGCCATGAGTTGATGGACAGTCAGAAAAGCAAATGAAATGGTAGGAGGGACATCCCAGCTTGAAGTGGTTTCAGATTCCACATCATATGTCACACAGGCTCAGAAAAAAATATATATATACTGTGTTTGTGGGAACCAGGGCTATTGCTCAACACAAGCCAGTTCGATCTGGGGTATCCACAGATCGATTTACATTTTACATTTTAGTCATTTATCCAGAGCGACTTACAGTTAGTGAGTGCATACATTATTTTTTTTCATACTGGTCCCCAGTGGGAAACGAACCCACAACCCTGGCGTTGCAAACGCCACGCTCTACCAACTGAGCTACATGGGACTATAAGCGAAAATGTCAGTCGGAACAGGTACCAGAACCACACAGGTCCTACATCTAAGAGGTTAACTTCGTAGTCATTGTATCATTAAAAATCCAAAGTGCTGGAGTACACAGCCAAAACAAACAAAAAGTCACTGTCCCAAAAAATTTTGAGCTCAATGTAGTTCTCCTGCTCCCTAAAGTGATGAGAATTCACAAAGCAGGAATGAAAACACGGCAGAACAGGTGTTACTCAAACTATGTACCAGGCTGTATCAGAAACCATCATTCCGGTTGTCTGAGCTTACCACTGGAGGCAGTCGTCCTCTGAGACTGAGGATCATCTTTGCCAGAGCGCTGGGAAGGCCGACCAGACTCTGTTCCTTACTGCTGGGAGGCAGACTGGCCACTTGTAGACAGAATTCTCCACTGGTACTGTCTGGACAGCCTGCTCTACCATCAGGCCTCTTCTCGCTGGAAGGCTGTGAAGGACTGTTCCTGAGGAAGGCCAGGGAATAAATGGGAAAGACATTTTAAGAGATCTGGGGACAGTTTCCCACAGACATCTTATAATAATATGCATTTAGCAGATGCTTTTATCCAAAGCGACTTACAGTCATGTGTGCATACATTTTTACGTATGGGTGGTCCCGGGGATCGAACCCACTACCCTGACATCTTGAGATGAGACACTACATGGTGACAAAGTTCAAAGACATAGCAGTTATGTACAAGGGCCTCATAACAGTTCATTGGCTATTATGACAAAATCTTGAAATAAAATACATCATGAAGGTGGTTGTGTGTTTGCTAGGGTCTCTCTCCAAGACAGTGTCACTCACCCAGACCCAGGGCAGCAGCATACTGCTGGCTGAGTAGAGAGCTGGCAGCCAGCTGGTTATATGAAGGCACCATACTCCTGTAGGGGGCCTGGGACAGGTATGTGGCAGAGGCGCTTTAACACTACCCGCATGTACATATTATCTCAATTACCTCGACTAAACGGTGCCCCTGCACATTGACTGTACCGGTACCCCCTGCATATAGCCTCCCTACTGTTATTTTATTATACTGCTGCTCTTTAATTATTTGCTATTTTTTATTTATCTATTTTTTACTTTTCTTAAAACTGCATTGTTGGTTAAGGGCTTGTAAGTAAGCATTTCACTGTAATGTCTACACCTGTTGTATTCGCGTATGTGGCAAATACAATTTGATTTGACTTGATTTGGACAACTACAAAACGCAAAGCAAACAAATGCTTAGGGGCGCCTTCCTCTGTCCAGGCATCACTGACGCCTGCCAGATCTTACAACGCCTGGATAGGTATTTAACGCATCAGCTAACCACATATGTTACAGCAATCTGTCAGTCGATGACGTGGGACGCAACCATTGGTTGATGCATGCAACGACCAGTCTTAGGCTGTGTGATGATATGCATGGCGGTCAATTATGTCATGTTTTTTTTATTTTGCAGAGTAGAGTTGATGTATTGGTCCTTGTCTCCTACCTGTACAATGGCAGGGTCTTGAGGTAAACCATGGTGTGGTTTAGGCGGCTCACACACATTTATGTCCTTGATGTCACTTCCTCTGAAAATGATGTATTTATACATTTCATCTTTGGGTAACACTGGTCTGTTTGTAGGCTGGCCTTCTGTCCCAAATGATTTATCCGTGGAAAAAAGATGACAAGATTGTTACCCGAATAGGCATGTAGGCCTATAGGTCCAAACTCAGTGTGCCAGAGTTAATAATTCACAAATGTGCAGCACTATTTAAATTCGGGGCAAAACCAATTGCCAAACACCTAAATTGAGGGAAAACTCACTCTTTGCCAAAGCCACCATCGAATTATCCGTGTCGATTGTATACAAAATACCCTCATAACGAATCCCGGCCTTGGATATTATACTTATTTTACTTCCAATATGAGTTGCAGTGCTAACTTTTGCTGTTAAAATGAGCTTTTATTTCTACTTCTCAACACAAGCCGTCGTTTTGTTTGAGCATTCCCCGAAGCCCACACCAAACTCGAATTTATCAGCAGGTGCACAATTTTTTAAAACAGGTGCTTTATATTACAAACCCAATTGGGGAAACGTCCATTCAAATTATAGCCTAGAAGACTAATTTAATTATTGTCGTATCACTGCAACACGTGACTTTAATAGGCCTAGAGAGCAATGTTTCAGTTGGATTTAGGGGAAAACTTTTTCTGACAACTCGAAATTGATTTAAACTACCCATGGCACATAGGCCTATCATTGATGGGGCATCAAGTGTCCTATGTATGCACTGTGAAATGTCTAATATATTTTTCAGTCATTCATGCAGCTAAAAACCAATCTGTTCAATATGTATTTTTTTTTGTGCTGCATTTTCTCCTCTCTATCTTCGAGGAAAGACACATGCTGCCCTATTTGTGGGATAAATTAACAACCACTAAAAATCATGAGCTGGAGAATATCTTCATCCGTAACCACAAACTTTCAGTGACAATTTCCCGATTTATCATAGTCCTGGCCAAAAAAACACTTTCATTGGGGATTCTCAATTAAACGGGCTTTTGAAAAATACTGCTAGGCAGCTGTGTCTGGGAAATCGACCCTTTAAGGGCAGGGGCTAAGGTTTTTAGGCTATGCCGGCACAGATAAATAGCCTACAACATATTGTCATAGACTGTTTTTTTGTTTTAATTGTATACATTTTTTTTTACATTTACGCTATTTGTCTCCGAGATATGCATTGTCTGTGAGCTGTTTTTTAAAATAAGACAAAGGGGATATAGGCTTACACAAGCCTAATAATAGGCAGATCCTATCAAAAACAGCAAATTCTCAAGTTTACCATTTTATAAATTCCACACAGAATCCAACTTTTCCTTTGTGTTGACAGTCCCCATGTGGTTTTGACAGCATGCAAAAACTGTATTGTAAGAGGTGTGGCCAAACGCATTTCTACAGTGGCGCTCCAAACTAGCTGAACAAAAACAGCGTAGCCATCTTGAAGCCCCAGAGCACAGGACCCAGATGCAATCCACCCGGGAATTTCTCTAAATGTTTGGTTCAAATCCTGTCGCTACCCATAATTTCATCATCGAATATAGAGTAATTGGCTAGAATATGAACGCAAATACGTGTCATACAACGTCTACTATCGAGTTGATTTTCTCCCCACTAGCTCTTGTTATTCGTTGTTGTTTCAGCCCGTACATCCACGGTAATGTCAGTCGGGAGCCATTTGTCCCGCCCTTTATCGTCTGCAAACGACCAATCACCGCACTTCGGAATCCCTGTGGGGTGACGTTGCATGTATTCTGCGCATGCGCGCGTCACTTTCGGCGCTCCATAGCTCGGAGCAGTGTGAAGATGGCGGCAGGCTCCGATCTGCTAGATGAGGTTTTCTTTAACACTGAGGTGGACGACAAAGTAGTTAGTGATCTTGTGGGGTCTCTTGAGTCCGAGCTTTCGGGTCACAGGAACCCTGAGGCAAGGAGCCAGACAGTCGCTAAACACATGGCCAGTTCCGGGACAGGGGTTAATGCTAATGTCCAGCAGAACAAACGGCGACTTGCTCAAGAGGTTGCAAAAGCAGGTATGCTGTGTTAACGTTGTTTTGCTTGTTGTTTCAAGTGTAAACGAATGCAAACACCAGTTTATCTTGTGAGTACCTACTTAGCATTGTGTCACCCCCTTCTCTCACCCTTGTTTCTGCTCCACAACAGGGGCTGGAGTGCAAGGGGGTGTCATTATTAGTAATACGATGTCCCAGGGTTCAGCTATGGATGCCTTATTGGCTGAGTCGGACTCATCGGTAGGACACAGTCAAGGCAAGACGGTTGCTGTCAGTGACAGTATAATAACTCCTCTCCCAAATCACGGGGGAAAAGTAGCCTCTTCCGCAGCTCAAACTTTGAATGGAGGCAGTATAATGAACTGTTACAATTCAGGAAGCGCTGTCTCTCTTACTGGGACACCGCTGTCAAGGAGTTGCACGAGTAGCAGCAATGCCTCGGTAGCTGTCACAGTTGTCAACAACGGGCCGGGGTTGTCAAAAGGACATGCGAGCGCAGTAATGCCACCTTCATTGAACAGCACTATCATCCAGACATCATTCGTGAACTCTCAGAATGTTGTCACCTCGTCTCACACTGCGAGTCTGGGCACTGAACCTGCCATATCACATATTGTGAGGCCATCTATGCAAACTGAGGGATCGGGTACAGCGTTGAATGGTCCTAATGCGGGATTGCCTTTCAATGTCAATGTAGCGGGTCAGCCCACTACAACTGCACCGGGCATGGCCATACAAACTCCACCATTGAACAATGGTCAGTCGCCCACCTCTGTGGCTGTCAGTGCGTGGTCGCACATCATCAAGGCAGAGACGCCCAAATCAATCATACAGACTGCTCCTGGTGCTGTAACGAACCCGTCGTTCCAGAGCGCACCGAGGACTTCCACTCCGGTGACAGTGGCTGCCAGCCCGGGAGGGATCCGAGCTATCGCGCAACAGGTGTTGGCCCCTCGGCACCCCCAGACATCCCCGAACCAGCCCAACGTTCAGAACATCCAGCTTCCCCCAGGTATGTTTGTCTCTCTTTGAAATTAAATAGTTACAAAAATGTAATATTGTTCTGATATGTATCATTGTTTGCCTACACATCATTTTAAAGACAGTCAAATAGAGATATATTTCAGAATTGATCTTTGAAAATTATACTTGCTGCTTCATTGATTATTCACTGATGATGATGACCCATCAATCAAAGGGTAAAAACATACTGGTTCTTCATTGCATCATCATTTGCACAGAAAATCCAGAACTTTCCCTGCTGATCTGTCTTGGTAGTTCATTGAATTGATGTAGAGTGCCCTGTTGTGCCTCCCAAGCGCACTCCTGTTGTGTATGTGCTGCGCTGTTCTCTGCCTGTGCACTGTTAACACACTTCTGTCAACTCCTGTTAACACACTCCAGTCAACTCCTATTAACACACTCCTGTCAACTCCTATTAACACACTCCTGTCAACTCCTGTTAACACACTCCTGTCAACTCCTGTTAACACACTCCTGTCAACTCCTGTTAACACTCCTGTCAACTCCTGTTAACACACTCCTGTCAACTCCTGTTAACACACTCCTGTCAACTCCTGTTAACACACCCCAGTCAACTCCTGTTAACACACTCCTGTCAACTCCTGTTAACACACACCTGTCAACTCCTGTTAACACACTCCTGTCAACTCCTGTTAACACACTCCTGTCAACTCCTGTTAACACACACCTGTCAGCTCCTGTTAACACACTCCTGTCAACTCCTGTTAACACACTCCTGTCAACTCCTGTTAACACACTCCTGTCAACTCCTGTTAACACACTCCTGTCAACTCCTGTTAACACATGCCTGTCAACTCCTGTTAACACACTCCTGTCAACTCCTGTTAACACTGGAAATGGAAATTGATGTATGTATGACATGCAGATAATCAAATACTCAGAGCTTTTCAATACATTTTCTCTTATCCCTAGGCTTTATTTCTTCTATCATGTTACATTTAGCCTACAGAGTAAAAAGTTCATAAACATCAATAGATATAATGGCAGGCAGACAGGGATATGCCATATGCAAGTATAGCATACCGTACTATCCTGGTAAGAGCACTACTACTGGCTAACCACAGACTGTATTACCTGTATGATGATGATGACGACCACCACCAGAAGTGGAGACTGTTGCTGCCCAATGTGCCAGCCTGTCTGAGAAGTGTGTGTATAATGTCCTGTCCTCTGTGAGCTCTCTGTGAATACAGGACCAACTGTGCCTGTAATGCAGTCAGTCTTTTTCTTGAGACCCTTCTTGTAGTGTAGTCAGTGTTGATCCCCCTGTGGCGAGGCACGGTGTCCCGATGCATTACCATGCACATTACAGCGTGACTCGTTTACACTGCCGCATCGGTCTGTATGGAACTCTGCCGCCTTGCCTCGTCTCGCCTTGCTTCTTTAGGAAGACTGATTAGCATGAAATGGCACAGTGATTATGGCCCTTATCCAGCGCTCTGTCTCTCAGCTAAATGTTAGCAGATGTGGGAGGATTGGAGCTAAACTGCTGCCAAGTACTACCTGTTCTATAGAATCCCTCTTCTGTTGATGTAGAGGAGTGTTGTTACAAATGTGTAACAAATGTGTTACAAAGTGTTGTAAAGGGAATCTAACATGGTGACAGGAGGGTTAGGGGAAGTCGAATGACTTCTTCTCTCTCCCACAGGTATGGTCCTGGTGCGCAGTGAGAGTGGGCAGCTGTTGATGATCCACCAGCAGACCCTGGCTCAGATGCAGTCCCAGTCCCAATCCCAGGGAGTCATGGCCCCCCGCCCAGCCACCCCCACCAGCACTCCTCCTTTTCAGATCACCTCAGTCCAGGTTTGTTCAATAGACAATGTCACCTCAGCCCAGCTACCTCTACCAGTACTCTCCAGATCAGACCACCAGCCACTCCCCTTTTCAGATCATGTCATTCCAGGTTAAATCAGTCTTTCCCCTGGTGCAGATCAGTTGGTCTTAAACCTTCCTCTTTTCTTCAGGCTCCTGGAACGCCCATCCTCACCAGGCAGGTGACTCCCACCACTATCATCAAGCAGGGCCCACCTGTGCCAACCTCTGCTCCTGTCACCACCACACTCCAGAGGCCTCCTGTCCTACAGGTACAGTGGGGGACAGGCAGTGGGGGGCTACAGCAGAGCAGGAGAGATGTAGCATACACACAGTAGGGTATATTATACAGTAGGGCCTTAGCAGAGGGCAGAAACAGCACCAGTCATGTGGAACTTCCTTTTAAAAAATCTTGAGGGGCGCTTCTGTAACATAGGCATCTCCTTTGAGCTTGAATCCCCTTTTGTGTGTGAGAGTGCCTTCCTGGTGTGTCAGTTTAGTGTATGTGTGTTTTCTGTGTATCCACTATGAATTCAAGCTGCAGGCTCTCACAACTCATTATCACAGCCAGTGGTTTCAATGAATGCCTGATTTGTCCCGGGCCAACAGTTTCGGACTCCTTTTCAGTTCTCTAAGGTCTTGTATGCACTGGGTCCTCTCTTAAACGTATCTGAAGAGTGTTTGCTGTCGGCCAGTGCTGGATAGTATGTGTGTGGAGCCCCATGCTATAGCTCTCCAACCCCTTTAATGAGGTGTCTGCTCAAAGCTCACTATTTTGGTCATACATTTGATCTGGCTTATGGCTTATGGTGCATTGAACATAACAACCTGGATGATGTGTGTATTTACCCCCCAGAGTCCCATGATTGTGGGAGGGGCTGCTGCAGGCACTTCTATGGGGACAGTGCTACCAGGGGCCACCCAGAGGACCGTCACCATGTCACCTGGGACCACTGTCACCTTGGCAACGGTGCGGAACTAGGTTCCACCCACCCCCATTGGTCAGGGCTAGGCCCTCTGTTCAGGGAATGCTCCTCTGCTAGACCTTAGCTGTATTTCTAGTGCTTTGATGGTCTCTGGTAAATGCAATAAAAATACGGCAGATATGATAGAAGGATACGATGGCTTTTGATGTGTGAATGACGCAAGAGCCCATGATGGTTGCTTAAATAAGGAGCTTGACTTTGTTTCTAAGGCTGCCCTTTGTTTGTTTTGCTGTAGGAGACGATGGATAATGTGAAGAAATGCAAGAACTTCCTGTCTACGTTAATCAAGCTGGCGTCCAGCGGGAAGCAGTCCTCAGAGACTGCCGCCAACGTTAAAGACCTGGTCAAAGATCTCCTGGTGAGTGACCACACCAGGGCTGCTGGAAAACATGTGGCGAGGCAGCATTTGCCACAGCACTTTTCAGTCAGGTGTGGCTGTGTCACACCACTTTTGATTTAGTTTAATAAAATATATTGATGCAAAGTGTTAAAAAGTGCTGTTTTTTAGACCAATTTGCACACGATTTCTCTGGCCTTCACATTGGAATGCTGCTGCAGGCTCTTAACATGTCTTGACCAATCAGATTCACGTAAATTGCAGGTCGCACAGGCGGGGCACAAAGCTCAAGGCGTTATCTCAACTTATCCGGTATTTATTCAGCAAGCGTTATAACACATCACTCCCGACCGACACAAGCAAAAACTCTTCCATAAATGTAGCAGCCTATACACCTAAACATTAGCTATCTGACACGCTGTATTGCATAGAAACGAGACCATTTTTTAGTCTGATCAACTGTAGGCTACTAACAACAGCAACTGTATAGTCTAGCCTACTATGCGCCCTGTCCCTCTGGCCAGGGTAAACAAAGTGGTAACGTTGTGTATTTATAGCCCATTTGTTTGTAAGAAAATGTGAATGGGAGAAAATGTGGTTTTTATACTGAACAAAAATATAAACACAACATGTAAAGTGTTTGTCCTATGTTTCATGAGGTGAAATGAATGATCACTGAAATGTTCCATACGCACAAAAAGCTTATTTCTCTCAAATGTTTGTGCACATATTTGTTTACATCCCTGTTAGTGAGCATTTCTCCTGCCAAGATAATCCATCCACCTGACAGGTGTGGCATATCAAGAAGCTTTAAACAGCATGATCATTACACAGGTGCACCTTGTGCTCAGGACAATAAAAGGCCACTCTAAAATCTGCAGTTTTGTCACACAACACAATGCCACAGTCTCAAGTTTTGAGGGAGCGTGCAATTGGCAAGCTGACTGCAGGAATGTCCACCAGAGCTGTTGCCAGAGAATTTGGCAGTACGTCCAACCGGCCTCACAACTGCAGACCACGTGTAACCGCCAGCCCAGGACCTCCACGTCTACCTTCTTCACCTTCGGGATTGTCTGAGATCAGCCACCCGGACAGCTGATGAAACTGAAGAGTATTTCTGTCTGAAATAAAACCCTTTTGTGGGGAAAAACTCATTCTGATTGGCTGGGCCTGGCTCCCCAGTGGGTGGGCCTATGCCCTCTCAGGCCCACCCATGGCTGCGCCTCTGCCCAGTCATATGAAATCCATAGATTAGGGCCTAATTTATTTATTTAAATTGACTGATTTCCTTATATGAACTGTTACTCAGTAAAATCATTAAAATTGTTGCATGTTGCGCTTATATTTTTGTTCAATATATTAAAACTTGGGCTGACTAGTTTACCTAGACCTTTTCAATCCAAAATTATTAACTGGAATTAATCAATAAACACAATAGCTGACACACTGTGAATTAATCTTTAAATATGCCAACAGTTGCATAGGGCAGGACTACATGATGCAAACCCGCATAAAGCAAGCTCAGCCCTGTGAGTTTTATTGTCCAATTAGGTTGCTTTCTCTGTGTAACCCCCCTAGTCCTTCTTTAAAATATAATTCATATGAACAAGGTTGCTGCAGTTTGACAGAGTTTTCATCCTCCCCAAGGCCAGGAGTAAAAAAAAACCCATGTGACCTGATTAGAAAATCTCTGGTACCATCATAGCCCACATTAAACCTTTTTACAACAGATTAATCACGTTATACCGTATAAGGTCCAGAGTTTTACTGGTTTAGGTTACCAGATCAGAAAAAAACTACGGGCCCCAGATTTTTTTTTTGCCACACCACTCTGGGACCTGTGGTGCCCCCTCTAGACCACACACCTCTGATGGAATCCAGCTAGAAATCAGGAGATATTTGGTCCAACTGTTGATGTCAGCTGCTGAGAGTATCACAATAGACAGGGATTGCAATCTGATGATTAACATTTAGCATATTTCTTTGGTCTGTTCTCATTTCCAACAGGAAGGGAAGATTGAAGTTGAGGACTTCACCAACAGGTTATACAGGGAGCTCAACTCCTCACCTCAGCCTTACCTCGTGCCTTTCCTCAAGGTAAGGAATCCTCCTACGCACCAATGAATAAACAAAACCGAGTCACCCACCCACCAATTTGCTCTCACCAAACCATTCTGCCAAATGACCAAATTATCTCTGCCTTTCTGTCTGTGTGTCTGTCTGTCCTCCAGAGGAGCCTTCCTGCCCTGCGGCAGCTCACCCCAGACTCGGCAGCCTTCATCCAGCACAGTGGGCTCCAGCAGCAGGCCTCTGCCACCACCCCCACCACGGTGGTACTGGGCAGCCCAGCCCTGCGCCCCGCAGCCCCACCCATCAGACCACACCTCCAGCCTGTCATCAGCAAACAGGGGCAGACTACCCCAATGGTACTCTACCACCATATTGCTATTATTAGGGATAGATTATAAACACATATCATTGTTTACTCTTGTTAAAATCTTTAGTATTAGAAGTACACTACATTACCAAAAGTATGTGGACACCTGCTCGTCGAACATCTCATTCCAAAATCATGGGCATTAATATGGAGATGGTCCTCACTTTGCTGCTATAACAGACTCCACTCTTCTAAGAAGGCTTTCCACTAATGTTGGAACATTGCTGCGGGGACTTCCATTCCATTCAGCCACAAGAGCATTAGTGAGGTCGGGCACTGGCTCGCAGTCAGCGTTCCAATTCATCCCAAAGGTGTTGGATGGGGTTGAGGTCAGGGCTCTGTGCAGGCCAGTCAAGTTCTTCCACAACGATCTCGACAAACCATTTCTGTATGGCGCTCGCTTTGGCCTTACCCAAACTGTTGCCACGAAGTTGGAAGCACAGAATCTTCTAGAATGTCATTGTATGCTGTAGCGTTAAGATTTCCCTTCACTGGAACTAAGGGGCCTAGACCGAACCATGAAAAACAGCCCCAAACCATTATTCCTCCTCCACCAAACTTTACAGTTGGCACTATGCATTGGGGCAGGTAGCGTTCTCCTGGCATCCGCCATACCCAGATTTGTCCGTCGGACTGCCACATGGTGAAGCGTGATTCATCACTCCAGAAAACGCATTTCCACTGCTCCAGAGTCCAGTGGCGGCAAGCTTTACACCACTCCAGCTGACGCTTGGCATTGCGCATGGTGATCTTAGGCTTGTGTGCGGCTGCTCGGCCATGGAAACCCATTTCATGAAGCTCCCGTCTAACAGTTATTGTGCTGACGTTGCTTCCAGAGGCAGTTTGGAACTCGGTAGTCAGTGTTGCAACCGAGGACAGACATTTTTTACGCGCTTCAGCACTCGGCGGTCCCGTTCTGTGAGCTTGTGTGGCCTACCACTTCGCGGCTGAGCCGTTGTTGCTCCTAGACGTTTCCACTTCACAATAACAGCACTTACAGTTGACCGGGGCAGCTCTAGCATGGCAGAAATTTGACAAACTGACTTGTTGGAAAGGTGGCATCCAATGACGGTGCCACGCTGAAAGTCACGGAGCTCTTCAGTAAGGCCATTCTACTGCCAATGTTTGTCTATGGAGATTGCATGGCTGTGTGCTTTATTTTATACACCTGTCAGCAACGGGTGTGGCTGAAATAATTGTTTGAAGGGCGTGTCCACATACTTTTGTATATATGGTGTATATGAAAGGATTTTCCGGCTACATCTTTCCAACCGCCCCATTGACCCCTAACCTTGAACCGTCAGGTGCTCCAGCCTCAGCAGCAGGGGGCAATGGTAAGGCCTCTTCGGGTGACCCCCATGGTTACCCTCAGAGGTCAGCCCCCCCACAGTCATATCATGCTGGGACAGCCACAGGTGCAGCTCAGACAGCTACAGACAGGTGAGTGGGGGAGGAGACCAAGTGATACACAAAGAAAAACCAAGAAATCCTATCTGTCTGATCTCTTTCTCTCTCCTGTCTCTCTCCCAGTCCCTGTGGTGAAGCCTGGAGTGTTGACTGGATCTAAGTTGTCTCCTAGTGCTGCCTCTCTGGCCACTGCAGCTCAGACGAACAAGCTGAAGGAAGCTGGGGGCACGTTCAGGTCAGCTATGGATGTCACATCCACAAACCAGTAGGAGGACAATTATCACAACTAAAATGAAAGATTGAAAAGTTCTGTAGCTGTTGCCTGGCTGACTGTGTGTGTCCAGGGATGACGATGACATCAATGATGTGGCGTCTATGGCTGGGGTTAACCTGTCTGAGGAGAGTGCCCGTATCCTGGCAACCAACTCCGAGCTGGTGGGAGCAGTGACACGGTCCTGTAAGGATGAGGCCTTCCTCCATACCTCCACACTGACCAGAAGAATACTGGAAATAGGTGAGACTAGCACACACACACACACACACACACACACACACACACACACACACACACACACACACACACACACACACACACACACACACACACACACACACACACACAGTTACACACACACACACACACACTGAAAGATGCACCTTTGAGCTTAGCTTTCATACTGGTTCCCTAGATCCTCACTGACTGCAGGTGTTTCCTCTCCTTAGGTAAGAAGTTTGGTGTGAGTGATCTGGGGCCGGAGGTAGTGAACTACGTGTCCCACGCCTCCCAGACCAGGTTACAGAACCTGTTGGAGAAAGTCTCTGAGGTGGCCCAGCTGAGGAACATCAACTTCAAGGTCTGTACGGTTTTGTGCATATTTGCTTCTTTAGCATCTGTTCCATGGTCTGGTACTTTATGGTGAATTAATGTATGTGTTGAAAGGAGGACAGTCGGTACGAGCAGACGAGCGACATGCGTGCCCAGCTCAAGTTCTTTGAGCAGCTGGATCAGATGGAGAAACAGAGGAAAGAGGAGCAGGAGAGAGAGATTCTGATGAAGGCAGCAAAGGTACTGGAGCTGTTTCAGCACAGACCCATTCCACTATCACTCCCATTATATTTGACTTTTAGGACCACTATGGGTGAGAGGTGGAAATTAATTACTTTATTCTGGAGACCCACTTGACCCACTCCTATCTGTTTTCTGATGGGTGTCCTTTCAGTCTCGTTCTCGTCAAGAAGACCCTGAGCAGCTGCGGTTGAAGCAGAAGGCCAAAGAGGTAAGAGGGATGGATAGGGTCATGAGAATTTGGCATAACAAAATACATGTGACTGAAGTGTCCATAATAGGGGTGTGTTTGTGTAGGCCTATCTCAAACGTGTATATGTGTGTGTCTCCAGATGCAGCAGCAGGAGCTGTTTCAGTTGAGACAGAAGGAAGCTAACCTGACGGCGCTGGCGGCCATCGGCCCCAGGAAGAAGAGGAAAATGGAGGCTGCAGCCGCTGCAGCTGGAGCTGAGGTAACATGGTCTCCACCTTCTCTCAAAGTGTGGTTGTGGGCTGTTTCTTCATGTAGTCAAATCACAATCTTCTGTCTCCTTTTTTTATTTCTCTTTCGCCCTCAAACCCCTCAACTCTCTGCCCCTTTCTCTCTTTCCGCCTCAAACTCCCTCTCTTGTTCTCTCTGACTGTCGCTCTCCCTCCCCATCTCTCTCTCAGGGCTCAGGGTCCAGTCCCGCTCCGTCTGGTAGTGGCAGTTCAGGAGCGTCCAGACAGTTTATCCGCCAGCGCATCACGCGTGTCAACCTCAGGGACCTGCTCTTCTGTCTGGAGAATGAGAGAGACACCAGTCACTCCCATCTCCTTTACAAAGGCTTCCTCAAATAGACACCCATAGAGACAGACCAGAGAGCTGTCACTCTAACCTCCACTACAGCAACTCCCTCAAATAGGGCTGTACCCTAGAATTGCATAAAGAGGACAGTAATACAACGATGTCAAGATTCTCCAGGCCACAGTGAATGGCGCTAACTAAAGTGACTGGAACGTTTGTCTCCCCTGTATACTCTGGTTCTCCTATCGCTCTTCATCTGGTTCTAGGCCCGACCGCTCCCTCTACACTCCTCCACCTTCCATCAGAGCAATCCTGGAACTCTCACATTTTCTACTGTTTTATTTTGTTTTTATTGACTTTGTTTTAGAATCCCCTTTTAATGAAACTGTAAATAAATAAATACACATTATTATACATTTTACTTGGAAGGCCGTTTTGTAGTGTGCAAATGAACGATTCTACAAAATAGTCAATTCATTTTGTAATTCTGTTTATATGAAACAAATATTTTAAATAATTAATCAGCAGTGTTTCTAGCGATTGTTAAGAACATTATCCTTATTTTGTTATAGGTATTCTATCGGCCTCTGAATTAGTTTGAACACTTCTGATTTCTTCTTGCCTTCCTAGCAAAGCAATTAATCTAGTGATTCCTTCTGAAATCTGAAGCAGTCGATTTGTCTCTTTAGTTTGTCTATGTTTGAGCTTATCTTGAATTCAATGTCTTGTATTTATATTTTGTAATCAGATCAAACACGTTTTTGTTTTCAGTCTCCGTTTGTGTTTTTGAGATCACATCTCCTGTGTTCTGCATGGGTTAACGTGTGAAAATCTGTATTTTAGAGTATAGTCTCTACAATTGTGGTCTAATGATTTAATCCTTTTTTAATTGAATTTTTTTGGTAATTTAGGTATTTGCAATGATTAATTATTGGATTTCTACAATAGTAAAAACTATTTTAAAATATACAAACTCAAAGAACCCTTTGTCACCACAAAACAACTGTGCACATGCATGTAGGAAAGTTTCATTGGTTTTTCATTGGACTGCATGTATTCTTCTACCATTTCTCAAATAACTTAATTATTATAAATCATTGCATTATTTTCTATTCTAACCCTAGACTTGATGATATTCTGAGGTATGAATGTTGATGTTATGATTTTTAAAGCTGTCCTATCTGTTCAATAATCTGTGCTTCTGTTCTGATGCCCCATTGCACAGCCCTGGCTAGAGCGCTGTGGTATATTTTCCTGATCACTTCGATTTTAGATGCAGAGTTTTCGGTACCTGTTACTTTCCATATTTGTCTCTTACAGAGAAATCAAAGTAATGGGGATGTCAGAAGCATTGCATGTCTCCCTTATTTCTTGTACATTTTGCACAGACACTTGTTCATATGTAAATATTTTACCTAAAGTTTTTTTAACTGCATTGGTTTTGTATAGGATTGAAAGAGAATAAACTCCTTCAATAAAAGTGAAAGTCCTGTTTTGCCATCACGGATGTCTGCATGTTCAGTTGATGAAATGAAATGATGATTTGGTTATTGCAGATCTTGGATGAACAGTGTTGTAGTAGAGCTGTAGTTTTGCAAGGGCAATATACTGTACAGACTGTCCATGTAGCTCATTTTAATTTAGGTGGTCTGGTTGAACCAATAGGATTGAGACATTTTCCCATTCCCCTGACCCATTTCCTGTCTGCTAGCATCTATACAACCAACATCTGTCATCCTCAACATACAGTGGGGAGAACAAGTATTTGATACACTGCCGATTTTGCAGGTTTTCCTACTTACAAAGCATGTAGAGGTCTGTAATTTTTATCATAGGTACACTTCAACTGTGAGAGACGGAATCTAAAACAAAAATCCAGAAAATCACATTGTATGATTTTTAAGTAATTCATTTTCATTTTATTGCATGACATAAGTATTTGATCACCTACCAACCAGTAAGAATTCCGGCTCTCACAGACCTGTTAGTTTTTCTTTAAGAAGCCCTCCTGTTCTCCACTCATTACCTGTATTAACTGCACCTGTTTGAACTCATTACCTGTATAAAAGACACCTGTCCACACACTCAATCAAACAGACTCCAACCTCTCCACAATGGCCAAGACCATAGAGCTGTGTAAGGACATCAGCGATAAAATTGTAGACCTGCACAAAGCTGGGATGGGCTACAGGACAATAGGCAAGCAGCTTGCTGAGAAGGCAACAACTGTTGGCGCATTTATTAGAAAATGGAAGAAGTTCAAGATGACGGTCAATCACCCTCGGTCTGGGGCTCCATGCAAGATCTCACCTCGTGGGGCATCAATGACCATGAGGAAGGTGAGGGATCAGCCCAGAACTACACGGCAGGACCTGGTCAATGACCTGAAGAGAGCTGGGACCACAGTCTCAAAGAAAACCATTAGTAACACACTACGCCGTCATGAATTAAAATCCTGCAGCGCACGCAAGGTCCCCCTGCTCAAGCCAGCGCATGTCCAGGCCCGTCTGAAGTTTGCCAATGACCATCTGGTTGATCCAGAGGAGGAATGGGAGAAGGTCATGTGGTCTGATGAGACAAAAATAGAGCTTTTTGGTCTAAACTCCACTCGCCGTGTTTGGAGGAAGAAGAAGGATGAGTACAACCCCAAGAACACCATCCCAACCGTGAGGCATGGAGGTGGAAACATCATTCTTTGGGGATGCTTTTCGGCAAAGGGGACAGGACGACTGCACCGTATTGAGGGGAGGATGGATGGGGCCATGTATCGCGAGATCTTGGCCAACAACCTCCTTCCCTCAGTAAGAGCATTGAAGATGGGTCGTGGCTGGGTCTTCCAGCATGACAACGACCCGAAACACACAGCCAGGGCAACTAAGGAGTGGCTCCGTAAGAAGCATCTCAAGGTCCTGGAGTGGCCTAGCCAGTCTCCAGACCTGAACCCAATACAAAATCTTTGGAGGGAGCTGAAAGTCTGTATTGCCCAGCGACAGCCCCAAAACTTGAAGGATCTGGAGAAGGTCTGTATGGAGGAGTGGGCCAAAATCCCTGCTGCAGTGTGTGCAAACCTGGTCAAGACCTACAGGAAACGTATGATCTCTGTAATTGCAAACAAAGGTTTCTGTACCAAATATTTAGTTCTGCTTTTCTGATGTATCAAATACTTATGTCATGCAATAAAATGCTAATTAATTACTTAAAAATCATACAATGTGATTTTCTGGATTTTTGTCCGTCGCTCACAGTTGAAGTGTACCTATGATAAAAAATTACAGACCTCTACATGCTTTGTAAGTAGGAAAACCTGCAAAATCGGCAGTGTATCAAATACTTGTTCTCCCCACTGTATGTCCTCCAGCTCAACAGACTGACGTATTGGAAACAGATGCTACATCAGATGCTAAGTAACGTTCACCACAACTGGGGGACTGAAACAATCACACCATTCAGAGTGTCTGTTGGGACATAGGCCTGATGTTATATTGATTGTGACCAGCTTCATCATGCATGCAGAACAATTCATATAATGGACAGTTGCAGCTTTCAATACTGATCCATTCTATTTCCGCTCTGTTCAATGGTCATGCTGTTGATCTCCACAAGATGGCAGTAGTAACTTGTGCTATTGACAGGTGCATGTTTTCAGGTAACCTCAGCAGAGCAAGATCTGCTCAATATGGACTTCATTATAAATTGTAAGCCGCATGGCTGTGACTTGATTTATCACTGAACTCAAGTATTGCACTGTTTACTCAGTACAATCTCCAATCTAAGACAGCCCGAGGGTGGGGTCGGTGCTCAGTGTCTGTGACCTATAAAGCATCATCTCATGGATGCTCTTGCTGTGCATATTCCTAAACAACACACAGCTTTTCATTGAATAGTGATCATTGTTTCCAGTGTCAATAATGTACACAAGTGTGTGGCACTCCCCCAAGTGAGCAGAGCACTCAATGCTGGGATGTGAGTCATTTTTGGTTGGTTCCTTGATGCCAGACAAACAGGGCATTTGAGTACAGCTCTGGTTTTTCAGGCTCACCTACCCTTTGTGCTTCGGCCCAATCCAATATTTTCCCTGGTAATTCCCCTCTACTGCACGACATGGCTGCTCTTTCAGAGTTAAGACCACATAAGCTCCCACTTGAGTGCCAGAAACAGAACGACGACTGTAGTTGCCTAGCGACATCTCAGCGAGTGCACCTGGAGGTGGTGGGTAAACACCCTGAGCCTTCAAGGGGGTAGAAGTGACATCACTGCTTCCTGTGATAAGTATCATAGAACGTGTTTGTTTCTGACCTCTCATTTGTTGAAGGGGAACTGCACCCGCTGATTTGGCATCGTTTTTTGGCTTGCTCCTCAATAAATGATTCTTCTTCTTATTTTTCTTCTTCTTCTTTGGAATTTAACGGCGGTTGGTATCCAATATGTTGCATTACTGCCCCCCAACTGGACTATAATATAAATCCATTATACTTTGTGATAAAAAATAAAATAAAAACACCCTTCCAACTAACCCTAAACTCATTAAAAATCCACTACCCCATTCCACTACTTTGACCCTATCTGCTCCTGCACCATGCCAATGGCCTGGGAGGACGGGACACCACCACTCAACACGCCCTGTAACTCTTCTCAAGTCAAATCTCGTATGCCCAAATACTTCTCTGCAGCTGCCACCACAACATCTATTTTCTGTAATTTACATTCCATTTCTGCGGTACAGTTGATAACTATTGCTATGAACGCTAAGAAGCCAACCTTACTGAAGCATATATCACTCGTTGGCCTATCCCTCTGTGCTGGCACAGATGTACTACTCACAGGGATCCTTTCAGGATCCCTCACCGTTGACCCCTCCTCTACTTTCTTCACTGCCTCAGCATACAACACCTTCTGCACTACTCTGACTCTAGCCACCTCAACCTGCCTCTCTCGCACCGGACACTTCCGATCCCCAGCAACATTGGCACCTCTACAGTTGAAACACACCATTTTATCCACCGAAACTACACAATCCTCTATCCCATGCCCTGCTGCACACTTCCCACATTGG